GCAGAAATGAAAGAAAAACAAGAAGCTACAACCATAGGAAGCCTGATCCTGACTTCCTGTCCGAGTTATGTAATTAATCACTTCAATGCCAATATTATTCCAAAGCCTTTCTCATATCTGGGTGTGTCAGAGTTCCCTAAGGACCTCAAAGGATCCCGAGCAGTGCTCACACCCAGATTTGCATAAACAAACAGAATGAGTGTAGTGTGGAAGGGCCAGCTCTTATGTGTCCAAGTTCAGAGGGAGCTCAAGGGTCCCAAGGCAAGGCTCGCACAAAAGGGGCAGAACCTAAATTTTAAGAGTAGGTGAGAGTGCTGGACATAGTTTGAAAAGAGTTTGTTTAAAAATTGGGCTGAAAGTAATCAATAACATAGGTGATTGAAAGCAGTTGTGGTAGTAAACAAAACTCAAACTCCCAAGATGGGATCACACACAGAATCAGTAGTCATACAAAGGGGTCAAGGGGTTTAGGACACACATACATTTGACTGTAAACACATAACCCCATTAAGGGTCTTAGGACTAGTTGGACATGCACAACAATGGCTGATACTTGCATGATCACAGGCTAGTCAGAAAGAATATAAGCACATTGAGGGGATAGGGACTTGGGATGGTAAATGCACAATAAGTGACTGACAGAGCATGCCTTGAAACACACATAGGGGAGTGCATTAATCTAAAGGGGAAGGGGAGACATTATAGCATGCTAGTAATGCACCTTAACAGAACCCCAAGCGGGAGTAGACCAAAATGAAAGAAGCTGAAACAAATAAGGCAACATGTTGTTGTTGGAGCTTTAAAATTAAACTAGGACATACCAGTCAAAGAAGCAAAGTGCAGAAAGGAAAAGTAAGCAGGATTCCACAGTCTAGCCCTTGCTTTCAGCCAGCTAGACAAAGCAGTAGCACAAGTAGTAATAGAGAAAGAAAGGGTTTTGAGTGTGTAAGTGTGTGTTCTGAACTCAATTGTTCGTGTCCTTTTCTAATGAAAACATTGGGGTATTTATAGCTTTAAAAACGAGTAGAGAATAAGGTAACACATAAGGTTTTATCACAGACATGGAAATAATCACAATCAGAATCAATCAACACAAGTACTTCCCTTTAATCAAGGGATTACTGCTCAAACGGATACTAACAGGGTTAATTAAGGAAAGAAATCAGTTTGAGACAGATTGATTCTTGCCATATAAGGGGGTAGTAAAAGTATAAGGTAAATAATTGAGTCTAAGTACAAAATATACTTAATTTTGGGAAAGGATTCAAGGTAAAACATCACAGTAATTAAAGGAAGGGAACCAATCAATTTAAACAAATGAGTAAAATTTAGGGTTTATAAGAAAACCTTGCAATTAAACCGTCACTTAAGGAAAGCAAGATCAATCAAGAAGTGGTCACGATTCTGCACTTCAACATATAAATAGCAAGGAATGAAAAGGCGTATTAGACATGCAGGGTCAAACATATTGACAAAAGAAGCAACACAAACATATAGTAGTAGCAGGAGTAGGCTATGATTCGGTAGTAAAAGAAACCTACTCGGAGCACAGTAGTCAACAAAGTCAAGTGGTCACATAGAATCAGAAGTGAAGAAACCATAGTAACAGGTAAAGGAGATCAACACATAGAAACAAGAAAAGTCTTTAAACTCATAGCAATAAGTGAAGAAAACATTTATAAGGAATTAGGGTTTTGACAGAGCTGAGTTGAAAAGGTAGGAACTCAGGATCGGATAAGTCAAACAAGAGAAAAAGGATTCAAACACAAAGAACTTAATCGAACCAAACATGCGTATAAAATAAACAAAGAGAGAGTTTCAGAAACCCAGATAGAACCAAAACACTTAGGTTTTTTAACACGATGAACCAGGTAGCAGAAAACATGGACAAACTGTTTAAACAAAGTAAAATCATAAAACACACTGAAAATCGGAGAAAAGTTTAGGAAACCCTAATTTGAAAATGAAGAGTTATTTTGAAAGAAAATCGAAGAACCTTTGAGAAAACACTAAGAATTTCATAACATGCATATATCTAAGACATATCTGAAAGAAAAATCGGAAAGCTCTTAAAGCTAGGGTTTCAGAGAACCCAGAAAAGTGAGAAAGACTTCGAAAGGTTACCGATCTAGCCGGAAAAGCCATGGATCCGACTTGAACGGTCATGGGTGGCCGGAAAAAGACCANATGGGATCACTAAAATAGTTAACCAGTAGACATAGGAGACGAGTACACGCCTCAAACCGCCATGGGAGTCCATGGATTAGGTGGGGATTGAAGGGAATTAGGGTAGATTTGGGCGACGGCGGCTAGGGTTTAGGTGATGTTGCAGAGAGAGTTTGAGAGGAAGGGATTCAAGGGCGGCAGTTGGTGAGAAATGATTTAGGGTAAGGGATCGTTTAGGGGTTAAAAATGGTGAGGGGCAATGGTGGTCGTTAATCTGAATGATCAACGGCCTAGATTAAAAGGGGTAGGTGGGGATCCGGGTTTGGGTAGGATTTAATTGAGTAAGGGTCGGGTTTAAATTAAAATTGGGCTGGGGAATTGGGTTCGAATTTAGGCTAAAATCGAAATACAAATGGCTGTTATTAATAGCCAATTTCCCTTTTAAACTTATAAGAATAGTAAATGGC